TAATTTGTTGCAACGTGCTACAAGTGACGAATACTTTCGTTTTCTCATTATCTCCCACTTAACTTGTTGAACAAAACGAGTTACGGATGACGTCGCGTGTGTAAATCATTATTACTCGCGCTTTCGCGAGAAGAGATAGCGAGAGGACTCGGGATTTCTATAACAACAACAGACATTTCTTCGTTGCCCGTCGATCCCGAAGAAAGCCCAGACGAAGCGAGGTACAGATGCTTCGAGCCTTAACGGCTTCGGAAACCGGCCGTCCGGTAAAATTTCTTGCCGGTGCACTCCTCTCTTGGTGCACCCCATTTACGGTCCTGGCGAGATAGCGTGCAATGCCAATTTATTAGTGAGGTGCCCCTTAGCCTCGGTCAAGAAGGGAGTCCCGCGCGTTGGTCGCGCCCATAAAGGGGGATGCTGGAGCACCTTACTTCGTGAGAATCTCCGTAACGACGACCGGCGACTTTTGTTCGCCATGTGAGCAAACATGTTGTGGCAACTCTTTGTTCGTTGCTAGATTTACAACGTGCTTTAATCACCCATAAGTTTCTTTTAACTACACTTCTTGAAGTATGGTCGATTAAACTACCGGTAAATTCACGATTATCGCGGAATTTCACATTTTACTCCTTCGTCACTCGCGTTTTCTTCGCTATTAACGCAATCGATCGCAGATATCCCAAGTCGTTCTTTCGAAATTACACAGCTCGTTTATTATCGCGAATCGCGCAAAGACACGGCCAGCGTGTGTCGCTCATTGTTGCTGGCGAGCGTGAAACTGTAAAACGCGGCTGTAAACGCGCGCGAACGAGAGTGAGCATTACTGGCGGAGGTGTCGCTTCTCCTTCGAGATCCTGTCGCGGATAACAGCTACGAGTCGCGGGAGATCTGTTTACGATACTGGTTCCCTAGTCTCTTTTGCCGCTTCCACACCTTAGCGAATCGTTCGACGCCTCGCGCCTGATGATATCTGCTCTTCTTAGTCCGGGTTAACTGGTTGGTAATTCTACTAAAGCCTTTGTTTGGGAAGTAGTCGAGATTCGAGTGATCGACCGTACGATTATACGTGAAAGCATTTGATCCAACGCGGCAATCTTAGAGAAATGGGTAGTATCGTGTAATTGATAGTCTAAATTAGGAAACATAATTTTTACAGGGTAATAATTAACCAGGGTAATAATTATTCTTTTTCCAAAATTAAATATTAATATTTTAACTACAGAAGAAAGAAAAATATATCTTCTGTCTTCCAATAGAAGATATAAATAACTAGTTATTTTGTCTTTTTTTATTACTCACTAACCTGATACTTAGAGAAGAATAAGCATTACGCAAAATTTATACGTTAATTTATACAAAACATTGTCATGTTTTTGATATGTATTTTTTATGATGTACATACTACTCGTAAAATTAAATTAGTTTATCTGTACTGTAATTTGCAAGCATTATAGTAGCGTGATAAAATTGATATCCGGTTTGACCACCTTCGATCATTTTCGATCGACCTTGATCCATTTTGGATCACAAGTTGCATTGATTCTTTAGGTTATTATCGGCTTTTTTTTATGTATACGCGTCAGCTACAAAGCCATTTCTGTCATCTGATGCTAATACCAGGTGCATCCTTACAAGGCTGTGGATGCGTTTAACGAAAGAAGCTGTCGCTCGTGATCGTGGGAGCCGTCCGTTGCATTTCTCTCGCGCCGTGTCACGTGGCCGGTGCTTCGAGAATTCCCCACGGAGACCACGGAGGCAAAACACAATCCATGTTTCTCGGATACCGAGCGCGAGATCGAGCGCGAATCTCGTACCGACCACTTTTCATTTTCGCGGAAGAAATGACGTCGCTGCTCCTAAAAAAGCGTTGCTAGTGCTCAGTTTTATGGGAAAGGAACACTGCGATTCTAATATTGAATTTAATATTGAATAAAATAGGATGATAACAATAGAAAATCACTATCAGCACTTTTCGTGCCAATTAATTTGGAGTCAGCAATCTGTTTAATTTATATATAGGCATATCAAGCGCGAGATAGACAGTTAAAATATTGCATGTAATGATATATATACACTGCACTTGTTCCGTTGATAAAATCATTATTATATAGATCATGTAAATGTGAAACATGGCGATTCTGGCTTGACACAAAATTACTTTTTAATTGTGCCAACCTGCAAATCTTGGCAATTATTATAGCGTGATCGCGACAAAGTTATATTCTAATTGTACCTACAAATCTTATAGTAATTATTATAGCGTGATCGCGATATCTACGCCATTGATGTATCGGAAGGTCGAGGCAAGGTGCGTCAAGTACGGCCCTTGACGTGCCTTGATGCAAGGCTATTCAATCCCGCCTAGTATTTACACGCGTTAACTCCACCGTACGTAAACGGAGTACCCGTTAAACCAAGTGGTCTGCCCTGGAACACCTTCTTAACACGATCGACGGAATATCGACGTGCTCTCACGCGATAATACGAGCCGTTTTGCAGCACGGCAGTACACGATAGTGTCGCTCCCGAAATTAAACATACGGAAAATGATAGTTAAAAAACTGAATTATATATTTTTTGTGATAATAATAATGTATATTATCGTGAAACACAAATTTACAGAAAGAATCCAAAATTAAGTTCAATTTGAATTATTCAGTTCAATTTTCGAGCTTGATAAAAATTATATTTTTCTTACCTATACATGCATATAAATTTCCAAAAGATATCGCAGTTCATTATACCGGCATAACGTATGATTTTTCGCTGATTTCCATATATGGGGAATGCGACAATACAAAAGCACATTAAAGCGAGAATGTGAATGCACATAATGGCAGCAACTCGCGTTTCCAGATCTAACTTCTATATAGTTTCCGTTTATTCTCCTTTAAATGGTGGCCCGACAAGTCAGACACGCACGCGGTCGTCCGTTTAAACACGCCTTATCCCCCGATAATTCTGTCGTGTGCTGGCGCGATAAACTCTGCAGTTCTCGTATACACCATCCGCGTGGAATACTCGAACACCCTCGAGGGCCGGAAGGGGGCAACCTTGAGCCAGTAATGCATTCGTGGTTTGCTTATGACCTACCCCATGTGACGAGGCACGCGAGATGCCGATGGCGACTGAAAACCGGAGGAGCATGTGTGGCCAACGCAAATATTTAGCTGATAAAAGGCGGGCAGAGCCTCGGGAAGAGACGTTGCCTCGTAACGCTTTCCCTTTTCCCTTGCTCCTGTCATAACAATGTTGATGCGCAAACGTATTCCCCTGCAGCCTCGGTGTGCTGCCATATATACGTTTGCACATTCCGCACGCTAAACGAGACGGGTATATCCTCGTTAATGCTGCCCGTCACGTCAATACGTCGTATAATTCATAGCAAGGCACATCGGTCGTGCAAATTAAAGATTATTTCTCGATCGCCGATGTAACGATTCTGTAATGCCTAAAGGCGATCGGGGATCATCACACTCGCACACGAAGCCGCACATATAGGTATGCGCGTCCTCGTCTACGAAGTAAAAGGGCCGGATAATTGAAGTCGGCTTCTCCACGGGCCCGAATCGGCCGTTCCGGACGAAGTCCTTAGAAGGAAACGTAGCCAGTATCGCGGACATGCGATCTGTCTTTATGGTCCGAAAGTGGGCGTCGGTCCGGCCTCACAATGCCGGCGTAACGACGACACAACGAGGACAACGACAGCGACAACGACAACGACAAAGACGCGGCCCGACGGACGGCAGGATGAAGGACTCCCGTCTTGTTAAATCACGACTGCAGTCGGAGATGCATGCAACTGCATATCTCTACACACGCTCAGGACTTGCAAAAGCTTTTAGACTGTTTGACGTCTTCATAAATGAAGAAGAGAATGATTATCCGATGTAAAAATCAAAAGGAAAAGATACTGATTGAATTATATCTACTTTAAATCAATCCAAGATATCTTTCTCATTTTCTTTTTCTTTCTCTTATTACTGCTATATTAATTAGAATATATATCCGTGTATTTAAAATTATACAAAAGTATTTATCTGAAGAAGTGCTTATTTAAAATATCACATAACATCGTGTGTTATGTAAAGATAATAATGTACGATACATGCACAGTATCATTCACGTGTCTAGTATTCAACGAAGCATCCTGTAATGCAATACTCGCCTACGTGCGCGCCACGTTTACAATTTGCTACGCTAGATTGTAGTATTTTAAAATTCATATTTGCCATTTACGTCCGGCAGCATCAAGACATAATTGAGAGACAGCTAGGGTATTTATACATAATGTACGCATAGAATATTTAACTGCCGATTCATACACCATTTTAACACGCGAACAATGAGAAGATAAGAAGTAAGGCAAGCAAAAGAGAGCAGTTAATCTATCTATAAAAGCAAGTAGCGGCTGATTTTCATCGCTTGTCTACTCGGACTGCGTATAAAATCGCGGTTCACGCATTCTACGTGCAGACAAAAGTTTCGTCAGGAATGGTGCGTGATATTTTTCTTGGAACGGTCGTGCGAGAGGAAAAGATAGAGAGATTAGACGCAGCGGTGTCATTATAACGATATTGTGTTCTTCTATTCATCGCGTCGATGGGACACGAGCGAGCGCCAACTAGTTCTGCGCGATCTGCGGCTGCTTGGAATTAATTATCCGTCGCGAGATCTCGGTCTCGGCGGGGTTTCCGACGAGCCGCGGGAGACCTGCAAATCCGGCCTCCGGCATTGAGCTCGCGATTTTTATCTTGACGCACTCTGCGACGACGACGACGTGGTACGAAAAGCCGCGGGTGTAGAGAGAACACGGACTTTACTTTCCCTTTCTGATCCTCTCGAAATGTTTTAACTACGAATTATCAATTAACGCTTAAATATGCGATATTACTGCGCCATGTTAAACCTTACAATGAGTTGTAAAAATTTTATAATTAGTTAGGAAATTGTGTTACCGAGTTTATCTCACTGACATCTTCGCATTGTTATATTTCTAGGTCTATCAAGTGGAATACGTGATAGTGAAGGCCGCGAACTCGCCGAGACCCGCGGCCTGGATTCTGGAGAGATCTCTGGACGGCGAGAACTTCCAACCGTGGCAGTATTACGCGCCGAGCGATGGGGAATGCTGGACGAGATATTCGGCACCGCCTGTCGCGGGCAAACCCGTTTACATGCTTGACGACGAGGTCATATGCACCAGCCAGTATTCCAGACAAACCCCCATGGAGAATGGCGAGGTGAGGACACGTTTTCTCGTTTCACAAAGCTCAAAAAATGTGGTCTGCCAATATCAGCTTCTTTCTTTTACATTTTATCTTTTTTTTATGGCCACCCAAAAAATATTGTCGCCTCATAATATCAATCCTATTTTATTTGAATGAGTTTCTTGGTAGTCTTACTCATTTTACAATCTGATAATAGGAATATAATTAAATCAATAGTAGACGTATAATTAAATCAATTGAGCACTTTTTCGTACAAAATAGAGTTATTATCGGAGTTACGCTGCACTTGCTAACTGTAACTTGTTACTTCTCACAAAGTAATGTTTAACGCATTGCAAAACCAGGAAAGAGATACAAATTACTCAACTGATGTGTAAAAAAACTTGCAACTGCCATTAAGTTCCAGATATGTTGTTGCACGTACAAACATAACATAACGTATTCATTGCAACGTTGGGTGTTGCGAGCGTTGAAAACGCGGATAATTAACCCGTACTAAAAACACGTCGAAGTGCATTTTTCGCGCCAGCCCTTTAACTGCCGGCCATAAAGTAACATAACGACCTATCTCTAATAACCTGTTGCATACAAATGTCAGGCTGCCAATCGGCGCACCTCTCTGTGCCCATAAGGCCTGATCGTCGTCGAAAATGAATCGTCTTCACCTTCACTCATTCGTTACAATATGATTCAGTATTCAAATGTCAGATATTACTAACGTTATTTCTCTAGCAACGCTTTATTTTATCGACAATAAAACAGTTTCATTTTCTAGCGTACGCTCGTACTCTCAATAAAATTAAGTAGAAAGATGTCCTTATAGAAATTGAGAGATTATTTTATTACATATTGTTTATATTTCACGCTTGTGATTCTCATTGCTTTTTACGAAATTCTTATTTCGGAAGGGCTAAGCCAATATAAAAGGCGTTACGCTAAAGACATGCGTGATGCAACGAGTAGCGTTTATGCTCGCCGACGCATTTTTCGCGGCGTTCGTTCCGCTACGAGCGCGACTAACCGTGTCATTATCAATAATCCTTGCGAAAATCCTCACGGCCGCACTCAGCATCGTTAATTATCGTCGGTCTTACGCGGCCGCGCGTGTGCAATTACGCTATTGGATGATTAGCGGGCGCTGATTTTACAGGCAACGGGGTTGCCGGCCCGCTTGCTTCCGGTAGATCCCGTTTTTCCGTCCCTCCCGCTCTTCCCTCTAACGCTTTTTATCGTTTTTCGCGAAGTAATGGCACGGAGGCGACTTAGGGTCATTAATAAACGGCGAACTGGACGCCGTTTCCTCGATATAAAACTGTATCTAATGAGTGTTTTGAAATCTTCTTTATTTTTAATATATTTTATTTTCTCGTATTATTTAAAAATGTTTATTTTTTCAGAGCTTAGGTACATCACAAATGAAATTAGTCGTTGAAGCTTTTGTCATATCTTTGTGCACTTTAGATTTAATTCTTTAATTCTTATTTTTGACCGCGCGAATTTATTTTTAAAACTATTGATACTTCGAGAGAGACACGTTTATAAGAAATCAATTTTATGTTGAAGAACTTAAAAATAGATATATATAGATAAAAGTTTATAGATATCTTGTATAATTAGCGCGGCTTGTATAATACATATCGACCGTTAGTTCTCAATTAATTTCTTTTAGTAAACCGTTACGGTAAATCGCGACACGCATCGATATTGGAAGCGATGCATTAAGAGCGAAACGAAAGTGTGCGTTTCTGCTATTATATCAACCTCATATTCCGAGCCATTATTGCACGGAGATGTGCGATTGATACTGTTTTGCGATGATAATTTACCATTCACTTCGTTATCATCGCGTCGGGAATAAGTTTGCCGCGAGGCAATGTTTTCTTTATGGCAGTTTACGGTAGAAATTTATAAATCAACTTCCTTTACCTTGTTCCGCGCATATCGATTTGCTTTATTCATGCGTTTCTAATTTTGTATCATAAAAATATTGAGGAAACGGTATATGTAATTATATTTGTGAAAGGCAATTACTTGTAATCACGTTAATGCTATCTTCTATTTAATACTGTTAGACACGTGACGAATTAGTAGATGGATCATTATTTTTTGAAAAATAATTGATTTATTGCAATTTCTTGTTTTTTATTTTTCTTGTAATTAAAATTTTTAGATTTTTTTCTAAAAATTTAATAACTACAAATATATTATTTAATAATTTATTTTTTCTATCTTATTCTGTAAAGTATGTAAGTATATTATATTTGTTTATATGAATTCCAAGTTTTTTTAGAGACGACAGAGATTAAACATTTACTTATTTAGAAAGAAGAAACTTTTTATCTTTAATATCTCTGACACACATAAACTTTACTGCTGATACTGCTAACATTATTCAGTGAAATAGCGTTTAATATTCTTACTTTAGGAGACACAAATTTCTGATAATATCTCCTCATTATCCCAACTACCCGCGCGAATCGTTAAAAGACACTTTTGCGACCAGACCAGGGAATAAAAGGTAATCATTTCGTGGCGAGAATCGATCCTCAGGTACGGGGGATCTCCTCTTTCTCATGGCAGAGAGACATCTTTTCTTGCGAAACGGCAGCGGGTGCAACGAGTTTGCCGTATGTCGGGAGATGCACTTCCATCCTCCTTCGGCCGTCTATTCCTTCCTCCTCCCCGCGTGCCCGGCTCGCGTGTACCGAGCGTAAAACTGCCAAGCTTCCTCCCTATATATAGAAGGTGCGTACGCTATACTCCCTTATACGGCCAGGTAGCGCCGTACATGGTCGGAATGTAGGGATCGCCGTTTTTGTATCATCGATTCTCTCTCCATCGTTTCTCTCTTTCGTTTCTTCCCTCATCGCGATTCCGCTCGCGCGAAACCGATCGCGCGTGCTCTCGTGCTCCCCAAGGCACGAGTTTTAATTATCAGCCGAGCTACCGAGAATTCGGAGCAAGTGCCTGCTCCTCGTTTAACCCCTTCAATTTTTCCAGTAAGCGATTATTACTTTGGAAACACACACACACACACACCGCGTATCACACGTGTGTGACATTGCAGCTTCCCAAGAAACAGAATCTCGTGATCGTAAAAATAGAGACATATGGGAAGCGAAAGATGAAAGTGAAAGAGAGAGAAAACGCAACAGATTATATGCGTAAATGCCGAAAACGATCGACACGTGCACTTTGTTGATTTGTTGTGGAAGCACGAAAACAAATAATTAAAAATAAAGTTTGGCAATCAGAGCGAAAGTTCGCGAGGCATTCTAAATACAAGCCATTGTCCCTTATTAGGTACCGCACGCTCTCCATTTACGGAACTCGTTCTGTTCTTAGCACGCGGCGCCATTCGCGGATGATTTACTTCTTTGCCCATGTCTCTGGAATTTAGTAGCTTCGCCCGCCGACGCTAATTGACCGTCGCTGATCGTTCAACAACCACAGAAGTGCAGACATTGCACCAGACTACATCTAATTTTATTTGCAGCTATTTGTTCTAACTATTAAAATCAGTTAAAGATAGTTAAATATTACCCCCTTTTCTCTTATTTTTAAAATTATTTGCAATTAAATTACAATTTTTTGTGTTAGAAATATATCTTCAGAAGACAATCCACATTTTTTGAACACAGATTATAAATAAAATTTTTTCGAGCCAAATTTTTTTATTACTGCAATCAAATATCACAAATAGATAATATATTATACTATAAATTACCTGGTGGGAGATTGTTGGGGGCTAACAAGAATTTTAATTGTTTACTTGAAAGATCCACACGCACTTGGTGAACGGTCGACCTGGAGCTTTGAACCACAGCGCGACTCTGCAGGAATTCACCCAGGCCAAATTCGTGCGGCTCCGTCTTCAGGGTCTCCGACGTAACGGCGAGGCTTTTGCCGACAAGAGACGTGCATTTTATTCGATAAAGGAAATCAATATCGGAGGACGTTGCCTGTGCTCCGGACATGCGGCACGATGTCGGTACAGCGTTCAGCACGGGGTAAGTGCGAGCAAATTGTTTCACCGCAGCAAACGTAGCGCACATCGACGATAGCATTTTAAAAATAAACATATCTCATTATAATGAAATAATAAAAAATTAACTTACGTTGGAAGAACATAATTTTATACACACAGAAAAATAATCATTCTACAGCCAAGAAAAGCACTTACTTAAAAGAAGTAAAATAAAATAAGTAAAGTGCTTTTCTTGGCTGTAGAATAATTATTTTTCTGTGTGTAGCTACATCGACATAGTGTTTCTAATGTCGCTTTCTCATTAAAACTTCTCGGTATATTCCTTTCGCGTAGTTCCTTATTCGTAGCAAAATGCGGAATTCGTTTCGTGAAAATTCGTAGAAAGTTTATAATGACACGATATCCGCGGCGCCGAGATTAGTCGCGCTCTCGAAAACGGAGATTCAGATTCCGTTGCTTGGGAAATAAATCCGTCGAAAGTGCCATAAACTTGTCAGGTCTTTGTCCGGCGACGCCGCTAATGGCGCGGGGTCCCTTCTTCTCGAATCGTTGCCTGCTACAAAGCCCGCAGAAACCGCCAAGAATTAAGGTTCCGCCACGATCGCGCGGAACGGGTGCTTTCGGAGGCGCCATTAGTTTTTTTTTTTCGTCACTATCAATGTTGCGGTTTCTCTAGGGTACGCGTTCCGAGTTGCGGGCATCTTGGGATTGAAGGTAGAACGATGAATCATGATTAGAACCGTGAGAATTGCTTGTTCACATAACAATGGATGACCCAATTCTTTCCGCTCGTCATTTGATTATTTTATGAATTATTTATGAGTTGTATATCATCAGAACTATAATATATATTCAATCATGCTACGTACTATTGTGGAACGGTTTTATTCTTAAATAATACACTTTTTTAGAATTCTATTTAATCAATAGAATCATCAGTAGAATCAAGTGATTTGAATAATATTATTTATTATAAAAATTAATTCAGATACATATGTATGTATAATAATGGTTTAAAATTTCCTGATATTTATCTAACAAAATTTTTAATCAGATAATTTGTAGCGTTTTAGAACCGCAAACGCTATTTTCACATGATGCGAACATAAAGTGAGAATAGGCTGCATTTTGTTCGAAAGACAGCACGGGTAATAGCGAGCGAGTAGCGCGGAGTTTTACGGCAGTCATGAGACGAAATGAAAATGCAAACTGTATTTCATCCAAAGGGATGATTCACGTTTAATTACAGACACGACTGTTTCTCAGGCGGCACAATATGCAAGATAATAGTCAACGCGAGTGATTAATTACTCTCGTTCGTGGCATATTTTCTCGTGAAGCTAGTCTCTTTCTCTCTCTTTCTCTCTCTTTCTCTCGCAGCTGTGGAGAAACACGAATCTTGTTGTATGTCGCTTACAATCCGAGAACGAGCATTCGCTGAGTCGTGTGCTGGCTTTAACAGACAATAATAGTTCATCATGTCCCCTAAGAATCACCAGCGCTGTCGCTTGGAATTGCGAAACCGCTCCTCGCGATTACGATTGCCTTATTCTGTGCGCGGACAAAGTTCAGAATTTTAAAAAATTTTCTAATACTTAAAGCAGCATCTATTCTCTTACATTCCACATTCGTCGTTGTCAAGATACATTACTTACATTATGTGAGCCAAATGATTAAAAAATATATTTATTAAAAAAAAATAAAGTTTTATAGAAAAAATTAATTTTATTGCTACATTTGTATATAATACTTTGTATATGAAGATCTTTTTTGGCAATAATATTAAATTTAGAGAAACTAAATTTTTTTATAATTACAAAACGTTATTCTTGTCTTTAATTCAGCTAGTAATAAATGATAGAGGGATATATGTGGAAAGTTCGTGTACGATTATCTATTTATTAGATCTGCTCAACGACAAAAGATATAGGTATTACATTGTGTGTTACGACTCGCTTTTGTATCGTTGCCAATGCGCTCAACATTCCGGGAATTGGGCAAGCATTTCGCGAAATCGTGGATGCGTAGTACGATATCACATTCATTGTGCCATTCATGATGCAACGCCACGTTTCGCTGCATCGAAATCACTGCATCGTAGAGTGGGCATTGACCTTTGCGTTGTATTCTGCTTGTGCAATTTTCACGATGTTCATTTATTTGATACGAGTCGAGTATACGCTCATTCAGCGTCCGCTGTTATGAATTGAAGTGGTAATTACTGAGGAAAGTGCAATGGCAGATATAGCGAGAAAGCAAAAAAGCAACACGCGCGATAATTGAGAATATAGGGGACGTTGATTTCTTGCCTGATGTTTGTCACTGTGGACGAGAACACTTGGAGTATTGTGCCATTATCAATTCTGTATACAATGTTACGGTCACTTTCGCAATTCACATTTCTTTGCCTTGTCATATCACTCGAATATGTTCCAGTCAATTAACATTAATTGAACTTTTTACAAATTTTTTTAAACCTTGCAGAATCGGAAAATTAATTATGAAGGCTATTTATTTAACTTTATTTAAAAATCTTTTAAATCATTAACGATTTCTGTTTCATTAAACATATTTGGCCGTATATGAATTAGGAAAGCAATTCTTATATAAGATTTAATCGGCCATGTTCACGCAATTTTTATGCAGTATAATATATATGATTCATAAAATGCATAAATATGTTCCTGATTTATTTATCATAAGATTTAAGTAGTCACAGTTTTCATGAGTTTAGTATTCACTTATAACCCGAAAATTATTGATCCTGAAATTATATTTTTCTTTTTTTATGTGAGAAAGAAAAACAGGTGAGGAGCGGAGAGAGAGAGAGAGAGAGAGAGAGAGAGAGAGAGAGATTGCTCCGAGCGATAAATTGATAAAAAAATCGGTCGTAAAAATTAAGGTCAAACCATTCAGTCGGGGGGTTTTATTTTTTGGAGGCCGAGCTATCTCGATTTGAGAATAACGGCCTCGGAAACATTACGACTTCCGATGAAATGTAATTCAGGTTCGTTAAACACCGCCATGGCGAAGAGTAATTGCAGAAACCGGGGCTTGATTGCTGATCGCAGGGATGGCCATTATCATCGGCAGTAAATAATACCGAGCGCGTGTTAACGGAGGGATATTGCAATTGACCGGAGTGCGGCCCGTTCGTTTGTCACGTCAATGATAAGGCCACACGCGTCGCGTTAACCTTTTCGCTCTTCCGCATGCATGCATTCACGTTTATCGGACGCGCGATGCGATATTTCGGTAAAATCGAAGCTCATTAATCCTGCCGCAATTTATTTTTGGCGCTAATTTTTCGCGCGATTTCTTTGGTCCAATTTAATTGTACGCTCCGATAATTGCAGAGTAAATTGAAAAAGTTTATTCGACAGAGAAAGTAAATTATTCGGTGATATTAATTGCCATTATTTACACTCCGAGATGATTATTGATTTTATTGTTAGGAATTTTCGCGGTGTCCCAATTAATTACGAAGTTTTTGTAGTTGTTTTTGTTTTATAATCTCATTATAACTCCAATATTCACACGTGCAATCGTATAATTTTCGATGTTACGAAGGAAGAAGAAAGGGAACAGTTGTTCTTGCTTATCGAGAATCCAAAATTTACTATCGAGCGGTATTCATTTAATTGAATTGACAATAATAATTTGTATTTCTGCCATATCTTGTGATAAGGTGATTTGCTGATCGCAAACGTTATAGTTTCGCGATATTGACAATAGCTGAATTTCTTGAACAACAAAGTGAAACTCGTAAACCGGTATAACGTCGAGCGCAACGTGAACTCCACTTTATACTCGGCAATTTAGTTTTCCGCGATTATACGCATATCGTTTGCGCGTTCGGATAGACGATTGGGTCAATGAAGTCTCGTCTTTATGACTTCGCAATGCGGTAACATCCGGCTAGCTGGTAACATTACTGAATACTTCGATTCATATGACTAATCAACAATTAGATCAATTACTTAATTTTGCGTTTTAAAGTGTAGGTTTACGACTTACATTTTTTTACGACTTGCATTTACTTTACATCATAAAATATATCAATGATGAAGGAAAAATTATTAATAAAAATAACTAAATTGTTATTAAAAATTATGTGTCAACGACGAATTAACGAATTAGATTATCTAAATAATTTTATTCTTATTAATTTCTTAATGATAATTATTTAGTAATCAGAAACGTTATAGAATTTGACAAATCAAAGAAACAGAACGATGACATAAATTCCGACTAACCTTACGATAAGCAAGCTTCCACAAATATTTCTTCAAGAATGAGCAAAATTACGCGGAGATATTACAGAGTGTAACTGGCAAATCTTCTGCAGCATATCTGCAATGTATCTGCAATAGATCGCGCGTGTTCGCCGTATGACTTAATAGATAAGCGTAACTTAAGAACACGGATATTTCGCGGTATCTGATAGGCGCATTTCGCGTTATCCCCCAGCATCAGGAATGCGAATGCGAGCGCCACACGTGCGGCGAAAGATGCGAAAAATGCTGCCCCATGTACAATCAGATCCCGTGGAAGCCCGGCACAGCTGGCAAGGGCTTTCACTGCGAGAAGTGCAACTGCAACGGCCATGCAACGTCCTGCAAATACGACCAGGAAGTGGCCGAGAGGAGAATGTCCATGGATATCCGTGGGAAATACCGAGGCGGTGGTGTGTGCGTCAATTGCACGGTGAGACGATAAGAAATTAGACAAGACGCGAATCGTCCGTTTTAACCGCAATCAAACACGCTTTACAGTGACAAATGCACCCTGGAAATAATTCTCTAATTACGGAAATAATTAATCACAGAATAATAATTGCGTGATAACTCTGATAATGTGTTTGAAGTCAAGTATTTTCTGTACATTTACGTGCGCAAGGTGCGCCTTGAGATAACTGATAGAAAATTACAGATAATATACACCTTTGTGATTAATAATGCCATAATATCTAGGAATTTGTTGATATTCAACATCTAACAAGAGTGTCAGATAAAAAATAAGTTATCAAGATATCAACATTTCGAAATATTATTCGCGATGATAACATTTGCAAAATCTTAGGAACACACGACCGGCATTAACTGCGAAAAATGTGAGATCGGCTACTACAGGCCGAACGGCGTTGCACCTGATGCACCTGAACCCTGCTTGCCCTGCGACTGCAACATACGTGGCAGTACAGGCTACTGTACTCCCGACGATTCCTACACGCGTATGGGAAAGGTAAGGGTTTCCTGTAATTTCAATTGCATAAAAATATCTTAGCAAAAACGTTACAATATACAATTATATCACACGATAAAAAATATCAAGATAAATATTTACGCGAATTAAAATTCTTCCTTTGTGAACCCCGATATATATTCAATCTTTCCAATAAATTAAAAAAAATATATAAAAAAATTTTTCGATTAACGCTCCTTGGAATATTAAATTGTTCGCTTCTCCTCCGTCCGACGTAAATTTGCCGCGGCTATTTTCGCCAAATCTCGGAAGAACATCAGCCGCGCGCGCGGTAATCGCTTGCGCGATCATGATTTACGCGCGGCGCGCATCGATTATCCATTCCCGGCGATTTCTAAACGAGGCCGTTCTCACGATCGATCCTAATCGGTCTAAACACCGATCGTGCTCCAGGTAGCAGGTGCCTGCGAATGCAAGCCGGGATATTCGGGATACAAGTGCGATCAATGCGCTGCCGGTTATCGGCAGTTTCCCGATTGCATGCCGTGTCCCTGCGACTCCCGCGGGATTCTGCCGTCCCACGATTGCGAGGGCGACTGCTTGTGCAAGGCGAACGTCGCCGGGGATTTCTGCGATCGTTGCAAGCCCGGATACTTCGCGCTCACGAAGGATAATCTCGATGGTTGCATGTCCTGCTATTGCTTCGACGTAGCCGATCGCTGCACCACCGCGAGATTAGCATACAGCATGGTAAGTTTTTTTTTATAATAGAAAATAAACTTTTCTAACATGTGTGGCGACTTTACTAAAATGGGGAAAATTTTAAGTATTGCAGTTTTTTAATTTTGTGATTTCGCACTTTTTTTCCTCGCGCAATTATATTTTCAATTACTCAATGCAATTACGTATAATTTAAGTTAGAAACTGAAATAATTATATTGTCAAAATTGAGTTTCTAAGCAGAAGAAGATAGAATTTTTTCAGTTATGAAAAGCATGCAGGAATTCGTCGCTTATTGAGACATTTTGTTAACAGAAGTCGTTAATCTTAGATAACTCTATACGTATAAGAGATAAGATTTATCCTTATTTATAGCGAAAAACCTCGTTTGTCAAGTGTCAAGATCGGGTTGACAGGTGTAAAATTCAGAACGATCAGTTGACATTCTCCTGCGAGTATGTCGTTCGGTTTAGAACGTTAATCTTAGGCGACGTCTTCGTTGCGCATGATAAATTGGATAAGGAGACAATTACAGTTTATCAGTCTCGCCGATAAATTGCAGACCCGCAATTACAGTGACGGTAATGGCGTTGAACTGGAATGAATAAAAAACGCGAACTACGTTATCATAATAGGCAGGCAATATGCATAAGACTTTTTTATGGCACATAATTTATCGAAGCTTTAATTATTAACCCTTCGCAGAACATGTGTAATTTTGCTGCTTCCGTCGAACATGTGGGTCTTTTAGGCCAGTTAAGATTTTCAAGCTGTAACAGTGCCATAAAAAATCTGAAAAAATTTAAGTACACTTTCGAAGGCTTTAACAATCTATTATACCGTTATATATACCTGATTCTGGGTTTTTTTTATGAGTCCGTAAAGTCTCCGAAAAATTCAAAACTGAAATATTGCCCGGGTCTTTAAACCTCCACGTGTTCTGCGAAGGGTTAAGATAAAGAAATTATGTTTTACTAAGGTTATGAATAATATTAATTACAATAAATTAAATGTTTCTTTAAAAAGCCAGGTAGCATCTTGTTCTTTTTTTTAATACGACTTTGCGAGAAACGGAATTGAAATAAAATTGAAATAGCGACAATAGATCTCGGTGATAAAATAACGGAAGGTGGGCCGTGTGACTCGATTTTTTCCCAGATTTCTACGCTGGAGAACTGGTTGGTGACCGACATGAACGCATCTCGAGCAGTCGTTCCCATCTTGGACACGGACAACGAATGGCTGACCGTGACGGCGTTCGACGTCGAGTATGACAGTCCTTTCTGGCTGGCGCCACAGATTTACACGGGAAATCGCGTATCCTCGTACGGCAACAATCTCACGTACTCCGTTTCGTGGGTTGTCATGCGAGGCGACACCAGTGGTAAACCGACCATGGAGCCCAACGTTATTCTAGTTGTAAATATCCGCTCTCGCGTTTTTTTCCGCACATTTAATCCAAATTTTAAGAAGAAAACAGATATTTAATAACATGAAATTCACATTACTCGCGAAGGGTAACAATGGGATGCGCATAGCGTACGGCGAGGAACAGTACAATGGTCAAGAAGCTGAAATAGCGGTACCTTTACGTGAGCAAGGCTGGTTTCACGTGCGAAGCGACGTTCAGGACATCCCGACCAGATTGAGGAGAACCGAGTTTCGCGGCGATCCCGTGACGAGGACGCAGATGATGCGCGTTCTCGCCGATCTCAAGTACCTAATGATAAGGGCGCGATATCATACGGAGCAAATCGAAGGAAGGTGCATAAATCTCCAACTCTTTATCGGACGTATAGCTCGCGCGTGGATTTTAGCTTTATAGTAACGCGTAACGAAGCGATCTTTCTGTTTCCTCTTAGTCTCCAGTCTGCCATATTGACAGTGGGCGAATTATCGCCGGATGGCGAAACCGACAATCTGGTCGAAATGTGCGAGTGTCCCGAGGGATACACAGGGACGTCATGCGAGAAATGTGCCTGGGGATACGTGAAGATGCCCGTCAACGGTTCCGATCATCAGGACCATCACATATGCGTGAAATGTGACTGCAACGGCCACGCGGGCTTCTGCGACCTCGTGTTGGGTGAATGTGGGGTAAGTCCCGATTTATTTTAATATAAAATAAAAATCGAAACATAACAAAACGTAAATCTAATAAAAAGGTTTACTATTATTTTATTGTCCGTAATTAAAAATATTAAAAATAGTATAATAAAAAAAACAATACATAAAAAGAAATTACTAATATAATGAATTTAATATTATAAATTTTAGCGCAATCAATGTAAATTATTTTTTAACGTCACGAATAATTTATTACGCCAATAAACGAAATGTTTCTCACTTTTCTCAGTAAGAATGTACGATGTGTAGTATACAAAATACGTAAGAAAAGTTTCCCAGTGTGTAACTGGCTTTACTGTTACCTTCAACATTTCGCTACGGGTAATGTTCAGCTTGATCTTCAGCCGGTACAGCAGCATGCTTAAAATACGTAAGCTCGCATGGATTCTGAGATCTACACGATCTCACGAGATCTATAGATCGCGCGAGCTATTTTATCGACTCAGCATTTAACGAAAATCCTTTACTCACTCGTTGCGTACTCGCGCTGTATAGAGAGCGACACCATGCAGTTAACTTTCTTCAGGAAAACTTAATTCCCGCAGGGATGACTGATTCGTACAGTCATTTGGGCTTAACAGACCCATGGATCTGAGCTCAACACATTGCGCGGACATTCATGTACATTTACACATTACATATTGTACATTTATATACACATGTTTTTATGAGTAAATCTAACGAGGAAAAATAGCGAGTAAAAATAACAAAAAGACCGATCTTTGTATTGGGCGAGCGCAAACTAAAGCTCATTTTTATTAAAAAAAAAAAAATCTTAACTTTTTAAAAAAGAAGAAAAGATTTTTCAAGTTTTAAAATTCAACAACAGAAGACTATATGCGAAACTAGCTTTCTTCATTTTTTCTTACATAAATTCATTTTTTTTATATTATTACGATTTTGATTCAAATCATTGTTTTTTCTGCGTTTCTTTAGAAATTAAATAATTTTGGTCATTAATTAGAAGAGTTAAGACTTTCAATCGTAAATTTGATTTGTGTTCGTGATTCTAATAGGCTAATATTTAATTTTAATTTACGTGGTGTGTCGTCTGCATAATTTCCAGGCGTGTGAACATCATACGGCAGGCCCAAAATGCGGTCGTTGCGCTACGGGGTATTACGGTATCGCAACGAGAGGCACCAGTGAGGACTGTAAGAAATGCGCGTGTCCACTTTCCGTCGAGTCTAACAATTTCAGTCCGAGTTGTCAGCTCGAAAATCCCGTTGACATGAATAGCGGATACGTGTGCACGCAATGTCCCGAGGGATACACCGGAGATCATTGCGAAACGTAAGAATATATAACAAATTTTTTATAAAATCTTAAAATAGAGCAATTACACATCGCAAATACAAATAACAAATATGCAAACGTGTCGACTGAATTATTTAAAGCAAATTAATCAGTCACGATTTTTTCTTGCAATTACGCGCGTTTTGCAATTTTGTAATCTTCTATAAAAGGCCATATAATCTTACGAATCAAAAAAATATATATTACAAAATGAGTATAATAGACATTTAATTTAATATATTAAAGAATAGTTTCTATTAATGGCTATAATTATTAGGCGTCACGCAATCGTTTTTTTTTTTTTAATCTGCGTACATTCGAGTAGTAATCATTAGGTACTAAAATATTATTATTGAATCGGAAAGCTTTAATTTCGATTTGGGTGAAAAGTTGTGATGTAGGATTCTACGGTAATCCTCTGATACCTGGCGGCACTTGCGAACGGTGTCCTTGCAACGGTGGTACCTGCGACCAGGAAACGGGTCGTTGTTTAGAATGCCGCGGCAATACCGAGGGTTGGAAGTGTGAAAGATGCAAGGAAGCGCACTTCGGAAATCCTCTGGACCAAAATTGCATGCGTAAGCACTTCCACTTTGCAACAATCTTTATAAATCCCAAAATTGCTTAATAATTGCTAATAATCACTTCGGATCTCTGATATTTTGAAAATCATTACAATCTTCTTTATTTTTTATTTTTTCTATAATTAAAATTGATTTTCAATCCCTTGCACGAAAATTTAAGTATTGAAAATAGTGACAATTAAAAATTGTTTCATTGCAAAAAAAATTAACGATTAGATTAATAGGACATGTCATTAATTACGTTAATAAGATACATTGCGAGTGTACGTACCGTTTATGTTTCAGCATGCAATTGCTCTTCCCTCGGTAGCAATTCGATTCAGTGCGAGCAGACGACAGGTCAGTGTCCTTGCAGACCTTTGTTCACCGATCGTGACTGTTCCTCCTGCATCGAGGGCTACGGGAACGTGACCGCAGGTTGCCGGGAATGCGACTGCGACGTGGGTGCCATCGACGGGTCCTGTGATTCCGTAAGCGGTGTGTGCAGGTGCACGCCGGGCGTCGTCGGCTTCCGGTGCGATCGCTGCGACGTGGACCACTACGGCTTGTCGGCGGATGGCTGCAAAGGTAAGTGCCGCCAGCGGTATGTGCATGCTTCTTTTAGATTCTATTATCGGGCCCTGACTCTTTTGCCGCGATACAAAGTAAGCCCGCCATGTTTTATTACCGCATAGGAAGACCTTTATCTCCGAGGAGTTTGTTTCTCTTGCCTCTGAAAGAGATTTGGAAATGAAATTAAAATAACAAACAATACACAGTTTTAAAATTAAAAAGTAGATTGTGCGCAAATCTTTTAAGAATAATTACTATAAAAACTAATCACACATTTACTTTAGATTGTTATTAAAATAAAACTAATATGATGAAAACTTTGATGAGAACTAATAATCTCTCACATTTTTCGATAAACTAGGACTTACTAGGACAAGTTTTGCGCAAATATTAACAAATTTAATTTCTTTCAAAAGGAAATCGCGTCATTAAGTCTAGAAGCAAATTATGCGCTTACTAATTTTAATAGCTGCAAAATTTGCGTTACGAAATTTACCTGCTTTCACACCCATATTTAGCATAGAACTTAAACATAACATGTTTAAGTTAATTCTTATTGAGTATTATTCAACATCTTTCTTTTCTATTGTAAAATAGTTAAATTATCAAGTTAAGAAAATATCACTAAAATACTTTTGTAGAATAACAAAAATCTAATTATTCTCTCTCTTAAAAATATCATAATCGATTGCAATTTAATTACAATGAATTTATCATTTCATTAATTTAAAATTGCAATAAAATACAATTTATACGTATCTATCTAACAGATTAATCACAGTATTATTGTGGGCCCTGAGAAAGGCCTTACGTACATCGATACGAAGGTCCCGTATCTGCCTGCGTTCAAGACACGAATGCGAAGAGTAATGCGCGGCTCTTCATCTTACTCTAACGCAAACTCGCGATATTTATCCCGACCCATTCTAAGTACGCTGCACTTATCCACCTTGACAGGCAGTTTAGAACGCTGCCTGAGATTTACGGGACTGAAACGAACTTTTATTACGGAATACCGTTCGCGTAATCCGTTTAGGCTAATTTTAATTTACGATCGCGCGTTTACGAGTACACATTGTTTCGCACGGATCGTCAAACGCTGCATCGATCTTCGTTCATCTCTCTTGTGCAATTCTCAAACCATAAAAGTTAAATGGAAATAAGACTTTACAAAAGTTGCATGTTTTTTTTTTAATATAATTATCTATATTATACAACTTATTTATATAGCTTTATTTAACAAGATTAGAAAAAAAATGCGAGTAATAAGAACCCTTGATAATTAACGCTGCATCGCTGACTCCATAAATTGATTTTTAACGCCTTGCGTGAAGCTACATAAGCGATTGCTGATAGACGATCGAATTGAATATGCGCAGCACAGACAGATGGAGGCGATTAAACGAAGTGTCGGACAACTTCAACTCGGAGCCGGCCGCAAAGGCGAGGCAAAAAGCGACGTTACCGTGTAAATTAGATTCAACAGACAGAGACGACGAGGAGCATCAAGAGCAAAGCTCATCGCGCGAGATAACTCGAGCGTAGTGCAACGTAATAGTCCGGTCGCATTAAAACGTTATGAAGACGTTTACAAGCAAGTAAGGGCGTCGACGAGAAGCCAAGCCGAGAAAACCGCGATATGATGTCGGAATTTAACGTCCCTGACGAGCGAGGCGGACGAGAAGAATGATCTTGTAAAGACCGCGCGTAAAATCCGGATGTGCCTCTCGTGTTGTGGCGGCACCTTTACAATTGAGTCGGCTAGCAAATTCCGCTCGGGAACGCTTGAGATCGGTTCGCCAGATCGCCAGCTACCACGAGGAATCCCATAAATCGCAATCATTCAGCGTCGTCGGCCGGATCCGAGACGCTCTCTCGTCATCGTGCTGATAACCGCGGAGGTTTCTACCGGTCGCGTAATCTACAGCCGCTCCTAAATCCCGTTACGGGGGAAGGATCGTCAGATCGCGATGGATCGGAATATCGTCGACTTAGTGCTAAAACGACCGGTCCACGTATCGTAATTTAATATCGTAGTTTTGAACCAGGCAATAATAATACCGCAATGCGTAAATCTTTTTTTTATCATTATAACTTGATGCAAAAACCCTAATATACGAGATATTATTAAGAGAAGAATAAGAAACATTCTTTTTATAATATTAATTTATTTTTTAAAGCTTATGATTCGGATAGTTGTGGACATTAAATTTCAAGAAAAGCACGTCGAATCGTTCTTAATTTGCGTTCCGAGTAATTCATCTGGAACTTCGGACTTTCACGTAATTAGAAGAGTCAAACGTTATTTTCTCCGAGCGGGGACAACGCGGAAAGGGATGATGAATTTCTGCGGTAATGAGGATTGACTTTAAGATCGACTATTCGTAAGCAATGAGCGTTAGTTTAAGCATACGTCATAAGTGGCATCAGATACGCAGGTAGATACTCCGCGAGACACGGCGCGCCGTTCATGAGTTCTTGGTTTATTTAGATCTAGTCTCGTTTCCAACCTGAGGCTCCCGAGAACCGTCCGCGATGTTAATTAACTTCCTGCAATGGGATGCCACCTACTTCTTTCTTTCGTCTGCGCGGATGATACGCTCCGTTTAACTGTGGATCGCCTCAATGGCGACATAAATGACGTTGATGCACCTGTCAGATTATTGCTATCAGTCGCGGAAACTCAGCCATTTCGTCCTGCAATTGCGCATGCTATACACTTGTGCACTTCAATCATGTATGATGTCTTATAAGCAAACCTGCAAAGAGCTTCAGCTTTATATTGTACATGTGATTTCATTTATTTATTAAGTTGTTTTCCGAGATTTAAAATGTTGTATTTTAAAAATATGATTTTCATTTTAGTAACATAATTGCTTACAATGTGTTACGGCAATATATCTTTCAATTATGCTAAACTTTTTATTTGTTTTACTAATGCAAATTGCTCCTAAGAGATTTAGAAGAAAATTACATCATATACATCACAGTGAGTAGCATTAACGAGAAATAGCATTACGTATTCGCGATTTCGATATCGAGATATTGCGAGGTAAACGGAGACCGGCGCGGCGGTTTTCCTCGACGACTGAGAAATTAATTCGATGTGCACGGGACTATCGATAATGGCCCGTAAATGTCGCGTTGCGGATACTCGTGATTAATTGTTAACTGAATCGCTGAGATTTCGCGATTGTAACCAGTGAAAGTTTAGAAATACGCAAATCGACGTCAGGGAGGGAGAGAGAGACTGCGAAGAACAAAATGCACGTCATTGAATGCTAATCGCAGGATAGCAACTTGCATAAATAAGATGAAAGATGAAGATGAATCAGTATTTTGTAAATTTAGTTGTGTTAATAGGATATTTATTTTCAGTACTTTTTAGCATGCACTTTCTTCTTTGATTAATAGCTCGATATTAAAATGTTAAGTCGGAATTTTCTTTTAATAAGCTTATAAGGATCTTGTTCTGCCGGCTAAATATATCTTCCACTAGCGCGACGTATTTACTCTCTTATCCTTAGTTATGCAAAGAGACTGCTCATGCGTGAATAACGTAGGCGGGCGATCGAGACACGAATTGTAAATTTTAAATTGTACCAGCGCCGCCTGTGCGTCAAAGGTCTCGAGGCTCCCTAGATATATCGATCGGTTGAGCATTTCTGCAGTATTTGCAAAATCATCTCGCCTGCATTGTTGAGCGAGAAAAAGAGGCGGGTGTCAACTGGCAGCGACCCGGAATAAATTTTCACGGTGTCGATGAACTATCCATTTGCGATATGCATCTTTAGATATTTAAAAAATAAGACAGAAGTATTATCATTATTTATTAAAAATTATATTCAAATAAGATTCATATTTATAAAATAAATTTATTTATGTTATCACTTCATTCAGTCTATAAATTCTGCAAACTTAGAGTTATTAAATTCTATAATTTCTAGACTTAATAGTGCGATACAGATATTAATATTTATGTTAATTAACATACTATCAGCGATATTGAAGAGAAATTTTTTTAAATATCAAGAAGATAATAATAATTATGTGTAGAATTTAAATTCTTGAATTGCCGCGCGATATTTGAGAAAATTTCCAACATTCCGATTTAACATATCAAAACCGCTATTTAATTAGGAAAGAAACTATGTTTGCTTAAAAATAACAAGTTAACATAAATCCAATGAGCACAATTAAATGTACAAGATATCGATAATTCCAACTTATATGAGTTGTCATCCTGTGATTAGCATTCAATGCGGTGCATTTGTACTTTTCTAGTTTTCCGAATCTCCTGAATATTATAATGTATTTACTCTCTATGAGATTCCCTGAGAATCTTTCGGTGATAAACTCCGTATCGTTGGCTTATTAGTTACTCCCTCTGCATCATCAGGATACATTAATTCAGCTTATGCAATCAAACGCAACGCGCTAACTCAAACGTATGTGTCCCACGGTAGAATTGAATGGACATGCAAATATTAAGCAGCGCAATTGAGTAAATCAAAGAAGAGAAATCGAGAGAAAAACGTATGTGCATGCTTTTGCGCGACAGATCCATTCGATCGTGGTGTCCAAAGGCAGCTTTATCCTAACTTAAGGGGCATAATTAAACGTAGTCGACGTTCTTAAATCGCGTCGCGCGATACTCTACGACGTAGCACCTTAATAAGGTCGTATTTTCCACCGCCGAGGACCGGAATCGCGGATTCTCGCGTTCCTCGCGGAGTCAGTGCAGCGAAGGCTCGCTTATCGGAATAAACACCGGGAGATAAGGCGGTTTATAAACCGGAAGAATTTGTAGATCGAGAAGTCGTATAGCATATTCATCTATGTAAAAAAGAATGTTTGCCGCGAAACATTTTTGAAAATAAAAACTGTGTGAAGCAGGTTTTTGGAATCGTATCTTACACAAGAGGATCTATAATATTATGTTTATTTTAATTAGATATCCGCGGTATATTCCGTGGAATTTACGATAAATAGGCCCGTAAAATTAGATACACGAA